TACAGATACACTTTGCTGACTGATGAGTACCAACTAGCACGAAACTTAGGTCAGGGTAGGCTTCCTGTGGCCAATTGCCTCAAACTATTTAATATGATAAAACAAATCGAGCTATCAATTTATCAACACATAGGTTAAGTCCAACAGAATCAAGTGTATAAGAGAAGGGACTGAATTTCAATGTAGTGATAGACAAGCTAAAACTAGAGGATTTCATCCCTAAATTAGAAATAGCACTAATTGGGAGAGATAAAACAACAACCGATGAAGTACAGGTAAAATGTACACTGAAATTTAAATGACAGAAAAGAGGAAACTCTAACTTGACAAAACCAGATATAGAAGCCCTAAAACAGTTTAAGAATAACAAGGACATAGTAATCACTAAATCAGACAAAGGAAATTCAGCGGTAATATTAGATAAATCAGACTATTTGGAGAAGGCGAATACCCGTATACAAACAGCGCTATATCAGGAAATTAATAAATCAATAGACACTGCTATGAATAAAGTTAAGAAATCTACAGCGGACCTTATACTCCAAATGGAGCTGTTTCCAGGTGAATCTAAATGGTGTAATTTGACGTTGGAAACTATTAACCCTGGTCGGATGTATGGTGTTGTTAGAGTTCATAAGTCTGGATACCCTATTAGACCTATTGTTGATTTTAGAGATGCACCTACTCATGAATTATCTTAATATTTAGCCATGGTATCAAAACCCCATTAAAAGCCACTCAAAATCTAGACTAACAAATTCTTATGAACTAAAGCATAGATCAGATAACTTAAAATTAAATAATGAATAAAAAATGGTGAGTTTTGACCCTGTATGTTTATATACACTATACCAATAAATATGACTATACAGGCGGTCAGAAACGAATTCACTTTTGACCAAGAACTTTAAACTAGAAGCACAGTACCACACTAGATGACATAATGCTTGGATGACTAGTTATTTATTTGAGTGATGTAATTGAACCGTGTATTGCATTTTATCTTAATTTTGATCTCTCATACTCCGCTCCTCTTATCTATTTGAACATGACCTGAAAACATTCACGTGTGTCATTTGGCGTGATTAATTCAATGCATTTTTTTTTACTCACCCATCAGTCTTATATCTCCCAATGTATTTCCAATAGTATTATAAATATATCCCTGTACGTAGAGTATTCAGCTGAGGAAGAGTTCTATCGAAATGTAATTCCTGCTTCACTAACACCTTTTGTTATTGCTTGTTTTAAATTCTTATCGGGAAATAAGGGTTTCCAACACTTATCAGTCTCTTTAATGGGTAACTGACTGATTTTGTCAACTATAAATACCTCTGACACAAAAAAAAACTTTTTAAATCCTAACTGTAAGTGCATGCATATGATCACATATTTAGGATTACGAAGACACCTTTTTATTAATAAACTTCATATATCAGTACATTACAGAGACTAAAATGGGAGTCTCTACAAACTAACTGCATTGGTCAAATATTAAACTCGATCCAAACAAACGAAAGGCTGAATCTTCATTTTCAAAGATAAATGACTTAAAAGTCAAACCACTAACTTGCAATCACTTTTCTTACCCTACTTCTAGGTGCCCTTTAATCTCGTCTAGATTACTAGTCGTTCTCAAACACAGAGAAAGAGGGAAGATTAGTTGTGGGGCTATCGACTACTCCTCATAAACAAATCAATCCAGTGGCTACAGAAATTCAATGTTTGCTAGGATCGGAGCGATGAAATGACATAGGCTAGGGAATACCTTGAGAACTAATATTGTTTTTTTTTATTACAGCTTGATTCCACACCGTATTTTCGTTACAAGTATGGAATTTTCAGCATGGATATCGGTAGCCCAAATTTTGCAGGCCAGCGGCAAGGGATCGAACCTCGGACCATGTGTATGGTCGGCGAGAGTCCTAACACATTGTGCTACCGACGCACAGCATCAACTACATCACGCAACTAATGATATTAAGAAATCCTAAAAAGATAAGACTAACTGTAAATTACGAAACCAAGTAAAAACAGGCTGTAATCAAAAACAAAAAAAAAGAACAAAAAGTCAGTTAATGTGTAAGAATAAGCCTGGGAACTTGAAACGTCCTCATGATTAGCAACATTACGCGTTAGTACGGCAGCTAAGTTGGATGCGAAGAGGAATCGATGAATTGATCGTGGGTTCGACAGCAACAAGAAGAAGATTTTGTAAGCAGTAAATAAAAAGTGTATGGGCAGTCATGGAGCTAATTAAAAAGAATGGCAGAGAACAGAACGAAATGACGATCTACCTCTGAATTCCTTCATTCCATTGGGAACTGAAGAGATGAATAATAATGATGATAATAGATAATGCTTCCCCGATAAAGGGGATAGAAGAAATGTGATCAAGAATCACCTTGAAATGATCTTTTCTTAACTCCGTTACACATAAATATATTTTCAACAGTTAAAATTGTAAGGATTAGACTTGTTTTTCTAGTTTGCCCATGGAGGATTGATATCAGTTAGAGAATCATTGAAAACCAGCTTAGTTGTCCTAGTTTGGGATTCATCAGCAGTCCACATCCACCATCGGGGTTCGAAAATTAATCTGATACTCTCTCGAGTTACTTGCTACAGAACACAGTTTCCTGTGGTTAATTTTAGTGAGAAGTCGTGAACAGTGAGGTCCATCCAGTTATGAATGAAGATAAATTTCCCACCGATGACATTAGTCGCTGCCAGTTGCGCTAAAACCACAAATTGACAGGAGTTAGAATTCATGCACTGGCCATTGAATTGCTATACAAGCTAGCTTGCCTTGTAACTAGAAGGTCCTAGGTTCCAACCTCCTCCCTCCAAGGTGGGTGCGCACTCCCGATGATTCACAGACTAGGACAATTAAGCTAGTTTTTCCAATGGCTCTCTAAATGATGCTATCAATCCTCTGTGCTCATACTTGAAAAAAAAACATAAATATGTATTTGGATAGCGTTATTAGAAGACGGAGATTATCTCAAAAATGTGATGTATTTGCGCTATACATTTCGAACAATCTGATCCCTCACACATTTACTTGTCAAGTCGATATACATATATATGAAAAAATTAAGGGCAATCAAATTAAACAAAGTGACAAAAGAAAGATTTAAAAAGGATTACATAACGTTTGGTAATCCAGTCAAGTAAGGACTACCAAGGTAGGTTAAGAGTAACAACAAACTATTTATAAATACACAGGGGGGGGGTTAAGTTTATGAATACCTATAACCTCAGCGTATTTCAGTAAACGTCCTTGACCGTTTTTATAGATGACCTTAAAGGCTGAGTTAACATCAATCTTATAGTTCATCTCGATTAGATGTTTAGCCTCCAAAGCCTCAGGATGGTCGGGGGTGGGTGCCTTGCGCTGCGGGTTGGCCACCCCTCCGCACACCTCTTGAAATGCTCCCATATGACCGGGCGTCTTACATAGCCTCTCCTGAGGAAGTCCTACTCACTGCCTTCACGTGGCGGAGGTGTTTCTCACCAAAGTGAGAGGGCGAAAGCGGATGCCCGGCGCTCTCCACCGGGTTGACTGTCCATTGGATGACAGTCTAGGGGAGATGGCTAAACCCTGATTCCAAACCTCCATCGATTGGCGTATGAAGCTCACTGGAGCTCACCGGCAGACGTATGGACAAAGGGCTTGTTGGTTTTCCTGGATGTCTGGCCCCATTCAAAAAGGCGTATGAACCGAACTTCGGTCATCGGCTGCCAATGGATAGTGGACTCCTTACTCCACTCCTACTGCCTTGTAGGTCACACTTGGTTGTGTAAAGGCTAGAGCTGCACTCTCAAACAAAAGGCCGAGCGATGCTGGGGACATCACTCGTACCAAATTCCCATGAAACTTCATGAACTCTCTTACAAATTGCCGCGCCTGGGCAGCGATGATTCGAGACGTTCATGAAATCGGCTCATCCTCCCGTAGGAGGTAGCCGAAGTAAAGTAAAGTAAGTAAGTATAGACGAAGTTGGTAGTCTGACATTTGCATCTATTGGTTTTTCAGAATTCATTAATTTTTCTAACCATTTCGAGATTTGTTCACCCACCCTCACATGCAGAGCACGATTACTCCTCCCTATGTATGTGTCCACACACACACACACACACGAAAATTGGTAAATTGTGTGGGATGTGACATAATCAATGGTGCACTTTTGAGGTTTGCAGTGAAGCATATTTTTAGCTTTTTCCACAATTACAAACTGGGCTTTATAATGGGTTCTACGGATGATCGAATTCAACCTTTGTCTCACAATCCTACTGTTTATTTCCCTGTTATGTGGTAATTTGATGAAGACCTTTTTCTTAAGGACGGTATGGATTGTAGGTTAAGAGGCTAGTTGACTTCTACACCTGTCTAAAGATTTTAAAGGATATCCGTTTTCAACAAACAAGAGTATCCATTAATATTTCGTTTTCCTTGTCTATAACATCAGTCGTGCAAATACGTTGAATCCTCTTGAATAGACACTTCACCAAGCCCCTCTTATACTGTAATGGACAGACAGAAACTGTGAAAATTAAGGTATTGTCCTATCTAAATGGGCTTTCTGTAGATTGATCGTCTTATTGGGCCATCATCTCTTCGACTCAGAAGTATGTCTAAAAATGCCAGCTGGTTGAGACTTTCTTCCTCGCATGTTAGACTAATATGATTCTGTACAGAGTTAAGTCTGTCTAATAGACAACTCGCATCTTCCCAATCGTCGCATATCAAAATGATATCATCTACATATCTCCTATAGAAGGCCAATTTAGAAATTGAATCAAGCGATAAGTTCTCAACATAAGATATGCAAACATCCGCCGCTAACAAAGGTCCTAATGGACTTCCTATAGTAATAACGCCATCCACTTGTCAAAAATCCTAACCGTCAAACATGAAATAATCTCCATCTGCCAATAACGCTATCCAAATATACATGCAAAAATCATTTTTTGTCTTCACAACATCATCTACTTACCTCACTTGTTCCAGGACGATAATACAATGTCGACATTACGAGTTAATTCCATGAAATTATCAAAATTTATACAAATAAATCATACATAGTCCAATTGAAAATGAAATCTTTTTCTCTCTATTCTGCGTGTTTTGTTTATAATACTGTTTGTTGCAGTATATCCATTGAAACATTCAACAATAATAATAATACAGGTATTGTCCCATGTGGAAAAATACAATCAAAGGATTATTTGTAATAACAACACACAGCATCGTCGTAATCTATTCTCCTTGATTACATCTATTCAGAATTCATTTAAAAATTATTCTTAACATTATTATTATTATTATTTATCTCTAGGCGATTTATTTTTCCTTCTCTCTATCTGTGTAAAACATTAAGGTATTTATTACGCATACACACTATATTTTGAGAATATCTCAGTATCGTAATCGGTTGTCATAGTGATGTTGAATTTTCAAGGTTTAAAACAAATCGTATTGGTGTATACTGTGTTTTTGAAGAGAGAAAGAAAGAGAGAGAGAGGTAAAAAAGAGAAGAATTAGATTGGATTGGTTTTAAACGTTACATAAGTTTATTTTAGTGCTCATTTCTTGATTGTACTAGTAAAAATTTTGATAACAATGAGACAATATATTAATTAAGCAGGTGGTTGGTAAGGTTAATTGCTATTTTGTATATTTATAAGATTTTTATAGGTATAGAAGGAGGGAGGGGAGCCTGCAGGGGGTGGAGGTTACTTGTTTGATTTTAGTGTACTTTATCGGAACAATTGACCTAGACTAAGAATAGCATCCAAAATTAACAAGAATTTATTTAATGTGGCTTTCATCCTAATAAATGAATTTTTAGTAAATCACAATATATGGTGAATGTGTTGGTTGTTTACTGGCAGAATGCTCGCTCATCATGCATATGGTCCATGGTTCGATTCCCGGTCGATGCACTAATAAACTCCGCCTGGTTTACCAGTCTATTGTAAGGCATGAAAAAGATGTAGGGGTGGCGGCCTAGTTAAACTTAAAGCACCAGTGTAAATACCAATGGAGTGAGACCGCACCAGTGACCTTCAAATCAGTTAATAGTTTTGTGTTTTATTTTTATAGACCTTGATTGCACACAGTATTTTGGTACAAGTATGCGATTTTCAGTATGTAATATCAGTAGCCTATATTTAGCAGGCCAACCATTAAATCCTGAACTGTGTGCATGGTCGGTGCCACCGATACGCATCATTAATAAAATATACTCATTGAAGTGTTGTGCTATTAAATTGGATATCTGGTAATTTTCAGGTCAGGTTTGAGAAAGATTAAGTTACGGTTTACACTAAGGACAGGTTAAGGTTAGATTAACCAAATATATAGAGGTATTAGAGTCTGTTGGAGTTAGAATGGGGCTAGTTTAGAGATACTTTGATAACTTTTATCAATTCACCTGCTTGTATTGAGCTAGGTATACCGGTCATTCGACTCGAGTTTTGTCCAAGAGGGTGCAAGAACACTATTCTGCATGGTGGATACGAATAGGTGGAAGTGGAGAAGTGCGATTATCGGACATCTGGTCGATAATGACCCCCCTACATCTACAGCCTCCGACTTTAAAGTCATCTACAAGGCGTAAAATAATTCACCCAAATGATTGCGTATCCGACTCATCTGTATTGCTGAAGACATCTTTAGTCGTATCTTTGTATACACAGAAAGTTTGTTCAACCCCTTCAACGTTCATGGTCTTAATCCCTCTATGTTAAAGTATGATAATCCCTAATTATATTTTAGCTCTACCAATTTTTCATTTTGTTTATTCAATTTGTATACTCTTCCTTTATTACGTCAATTGTTACCACTATTACTATTCTTACTTTTAACTGTCCCCTGCATTACTTCACTTGTTTCACTTTTCATTCTACATCAATTCTTTTTTACAACGTTAAATTCTATGCTATCGAATTTCACACAATATTACGTAACGTTTTTATTTTATTCGATTGGCTTACTAGTCCTAGAATTGCATACTCTTTCCAAGTTTTATCCACCAATGATATTTAACTATGATTATAATCACAAAAAGTTTCATTTTCATTGCATACATACAGGAACCCGGATGGGAAGCGGCGAGTCAGGTGGCCGTCAGTCCGAGGGTGAAATGGAGGAAGAGGTCATGTGAAGAAGAGATGAAAGCATGTGGGAGGACATGGAGCCAGGTGAAATAGTTGATGGAGAACCGAACACAATGGAGACGTGTACGGCTGAAGCCCTATGTTCTTCTAGGAACTAAAGAGAACAATAATAATATAATAAAACCTAATATGGACCTATACAAAAACTTATGCGCTGATTTAACTTGTTACGAAATAAACGCTCTACAGTTCTACAATGAAATGAAGATACCCTTCAGATTATTACTTTACATGTAAATCCTGTATGAAGTAAAAAAGGAATTTGGAACCAAATATGCTGAAAAATTTTGTACAGTATGTTCATATGTTGTTTTAAATAAAGCTTTATGATTATTATTATTATTATTTGTAAAATTCAAGAGACAGAACAACGCAAACCCTAGTTGATTCGCTGATTCTGTGTTAACGAAACGCTTAAAACCTGATCTCTGTATACACAAAGAATTCATGGTTGAAGTTTATCTACCCCAACAGCCTCTTTAATGGTAACTTCTAGAATATTCGAAGATATCGATCAGGGTTCCTAGTTCCCTCGACTGATTTTCGCAACAGACTTTAATTTCCCACTTTCCATGATAGTCTTTACTAATATATGTAAATGCTTAAACAATATTATATGGCTAACTTCAGGATTACTTTTTCAATTTTGTGACAACTTTCATCCCATAGTTCCACTGGTAGTGGCTACCCACCGAATGACTTCAACTACATGAAAAAAACAAAATACATAGTTCAGTGATTAGTCTCTTTCCAGCGGCGAATTCATTCACTCAACTGTACGATTTCAATTATATGTATATATATGCACATTTGTCAGGCAAAAAGAAAGATTAGTTAAAGTGGTTGCTTACGTCATCAAAATATTTTTAAAAATGTGGTGAAGAAAATTTTCTTTTCGAGGCGTCATTTTCATGAGCTGCCGCACAACCGTAATTATATTTAAGACTTAAATGTTTCTGATTATAGTCATAGTTAAATGTCAAGTTGGCAAAGCAAATTAATGTCATATATAGAATAATTCATAGGATGGATAGAACTTGAAAAGGGTGTGCAATTATAGGACTAGTAGGCATATGGAATAAAGTAGAAACGTTAAGTAATATTGTGTGAAATTTGATAGCATAGAATTCAACGTTGTAAAAAGAAAAGAGAATTGATTTAGAATGACAAGCGGAACAATCTGTTATGGAATGGTCAACTGACAAATTTCTACAGCTGGGTACCCATTGGTCCAAAACGAAACCCGGTCCGATCGCTTGCCACTCGTTTTCGGTGTATATGTAGCCCTGATACTGTGGAAGATGAGTTATATCTTTTGAGAAAAAAATCTTAACAGAAAATGGATTTCCACCACGTTTTATAGATAAGAATATACATTCAAATCCTATAAAATGTGACTTATCATCCGTACCCGAGAAAATACTTTACATAAGCTTGGAATTCAAAGGGGACTTAGCTTCAGATATCATGAAACGAAGGATATCACAGTCCCTGAAAAGAACATTCCCTGCTGCATCTCTGAGAATAGCCTTTACTAGCCGACCATTACTGTTAAATAACCTGGAGGACAAGATCCCACTGTTGACCAACTCTATGTGTGTTTATCAGTTCACCTGCTTGTGTGGAGCTAGGTACATCGGTCGTTCGGCTCGAGTTTTGTTCGAGATGTTGCAAGATTTCTATCCTGCATGATTACGAAGAGGTGGAAGTGGAGCAATAAGAAGCGCGATCATTGAACATCTGATCGATAATGATCACCCTATCTCTATAGCATCCGCCTTTAAAGTCATCTACAAGCCAAAAAGTAATTTACCCAAATCCCTACGTACCTGACTTATCTGTATTGCTAAAGCTTTGGATATCGAAACAGAAAAGCCAGATTTCTGTGTACAGAAAATGTTCGTTCAAACCCTCCAACTTCCATGGTCTTAATCCCTCTATGCTAAAGTGTGGTAATCCCCAATCACATTTTTGCTCTACCAATTTTTAATTTTTTCATTTTGTCTATTCAATTTGTATATTCTTCCTTATTACGTCAATTGTTACTATTACTACTCTCACTTTGAACTGTGCACGGTATTATCTCACTTGTCATTCATTCTATGCTATCAAATTTCAAACAATATTACTTAACGTCTCTATTTTATTCCATTTGCCTACTAGTCCTATAATTGCACACCCTTTCCAAGTTCTGTCCATCCTATGAATTATTCTATATATGACATTAATTGTTTTGCCACTTGACATTTAACTATGATTATAATCAGAAACGTTTTAGTTTTAATTGCATTTCATACTATTATTATTATTATTTTTATTTTATACATTCACACCTGTAATTATATTTAACAAAGAAATCTTTAGACCAATCAGATACTGATATAAGAAAAAAGTGTTGGTTTTGTAGGGATTTGGTTTGAATGTATGGAGGATTTAATCATGAGCTGACATCAGTTAGAGAACCACTGGAAAACCTGGGAGTACTGGACAGCCGTTTCGTCCTAGTTTGGGACTCTTCAGCAGTACGCACCCACCGGGGTTCGAACCCAGGACCTTCTGGTTACAAGGCGAGCTCGTAGACCATTGAGCCACTGGGACCCGATCCAATGGTTCTTGAATTCTAACCTCTGCCAATTCACGACATAGCGCGACCACTTCGCAATGTCTTCTTCGATGAGTTACTGCCTCATCTTCGACCTGCTGTACCTTACTGGTCACGGCTTCCCACTAGAACCCCAGGTTAACTGCCTGAATAGGGCCAGTCGCTAGTGAGCATCAGATTAATTTTCAAGTGTTGGTTTTGTAGGGATTTGGTTTGATTGTATGGAGGATTTAATCATGAGCTGACATCAGTTAGAGAAACTTGTGCACTGTGGTAGAGTATAATTCCATTATGGGTAAACTTTTGTTTTGATAAAGTCTCACAGTGTAGTGATATACAGTAATGTTTATTGATGACCACGTTTCGAGCACAATTTATTGCCACTCATAATCATATCAAGGTATTCACACGACTTCCTAACTTCATCTATATAGTTCCATTATTATTCACTTGATTTTCAATTGATTTGATTGGCGATAGCATTTTCCATATTTCAGGTATGAGTGATGACTGATTCCTATTGCATGTGTTTGGTGTAGATTCGATGAACAAGGATTCAGTAATCAATATAATTTACAAAATACCATGCAA